CAACTACCCGCATGATAACAGGACGCGAACAACATACTGCAACCCTACTCAATTCAGGCAAAGTTCTCGTCACGGGGGGTTGGAATTCATCATCCATTTATCTTCCTAGTTCAGAAATATATGATCCATCAACGGGCCAATGGAACGCTACTGCAAACATGGCAACAGCACCGACCGAGAACATTCTTTTCTCCATGATTCAGAGTCGCTGTAATAAGCATCAAATAGAGTAACGATATCACTTGATAGACTGTTATAAAGAAGAGAACGCTTGTTTGAGTTTCCTTTCGATTCTTATTATCTTTCATATGCCTTTGGGTGTTCATATCGAAACCGACCCTACAGTTTCTATATATGTGCTAGTTTACGATGCTCGAACAATACAATGATGATTGTGTCGCCACGAATTAGTGTCTCTAGAGGTGGTCGTCGTCCGCCGTTCTTCTCAGGTTTTATACATCTCATTTGCCAAAGGAGTCAAAGAAAACTAATATGTGTCAGATCACCGTGCAACACAGACACGTTTCGATGGTTGTCAATTGTTTTTATGACGATCAGGCCTGTGGATTGATTTTTATTCTTCGCAAAGCGAAAAGCGAATTAGGAGTGGAAACTTAAACGGCTTTAGTGGCATTCTGCTTTTAGTAGGAAATAATTCCTCTTTCTGCTTTCTTGTCGAACACCTTTTGGACGCCGAAATTATGCATTTTCTGTTTCTTCTCTTGTGAAATATATGTTTGGACTACTTTAAGTTCTTGATGAAAATCCCGATGATTTGTTGAAGTGGGATTTCGGAAAACATTAATTGTCAAAATCACGTCATGATTCTAGAGACTACAGTTGGTGCTATTGCCTTAAGGTCAATGGAACACTATCGCAAGCATGGCAGCACGACGTGAACATCACACTACCGCCATGCTCAATTCAAGCAAAGTTCTTGTAACTGGTGGTAGGAGATTGCCCAGTTCTCTTGCTAGTTATATAACCCATCAACTGGTCAATGGAACACAACTACCCACATGGTAACAGGACGCGAATAGCAAACTGTAACCCTGCTCAATTCGGGCAAAGTGCTCGTCACTGGGAGTTGGAATTCATCATCCATTTATCTTCCTAGTTCAGAAATATATTAGTTTTAATCCGATATTTAACAACGTATGTGACAAATGCAGATGTACTATCTGTCACGCACTTCAGATCCTCATCGCTCAATACTTTCCATCTACGCCTTAGTCTACGATGAATTCGTTCGGTCGTACTATCTTCACTTATCCGCCTTAGCAATGCGAGAATAAACCAATGCACTCTAGGTTTTTGTAGAAGGACACAGCATCTTGCTTTTAATAGGAAACAATTCTTCTTTCTGCTTTCTTATCTAACACCTTTTGGACATCGGAATTATGCGTTTGCTGATTCTAATCTGATTTGAACCCGATGGTATATATATAAAATACAATATTTCCACGTTTCTATTTCCACTTTTTATCTTTTTTTAATGCTCCTTCCTTCTCAAAACTATATTTGTATCCAAAATTTTCTTTGTTCTTTACAGTATTAAAATAATAAAGTTCTTTTTTACCTCTACATAAAAAAGATAGCGCTGCGATAATAGCGATCTTTTACCGAGCGCTGTCACTGTAAGAAAAACTTGTCACGTCGCAGTCGCGACATTATACAGCGTCGTGGCGCGTCTCCGGTGCAAATTCCATTCACCATTTTCTTTTGCTGACGTGCTTGGTATATTACTCTTACTGATTTTTCGAAAAATTTTCAAAGTCTTGTGTCATCTTAATATCTCAGGATATACTAATATAGTCTTGCGTATCAGAAGTAGCGTGGCTCATTTACTGATATTACGGAAAACGCGAATAAATAATAACTATAGTAAAATACTTGAGTCATTGATTTTTGTATGAAAAATTAGCGATCGCCAGAAGTCCCACCCCTGGAAACATTTTAGTAAAAATCGATTCCATTAGCCCATGAAGTTTGGCTACTTGACAATTCAGGTTTTTCCACAAAAACCTCTCCACTCTGCTCTAGATGTTCCATCTAAGAAGCATGTTTTAATAACTGGAGCTAATGCGGATATTAGTTATGTGGCAGCACAGTTATTTCTTAGTAAGAAGGTCGATATTTGTCAATTTGAAGTAACCATTGTGGGTCGATATTTGTCAATATGAAGTAACCATTGTGGGTCGATCCTTCGAACGATTGAATTAAAGTTAGGAGACAACGATAACGCCGACATGGGTTTTAAAACTTTTTCTAAAAATAAATATTGCCACGAGGCTCAGCACGGTCGATTATCCATGGTCCATCCGTTTTTGAGGCTACCAGTAGTCATCGGGTGCCAGTCTTGAGACTCGTCGCCGACGAGTCGTCGGAAATCCGATACGACGCCCGAACTGCAGAAAACCAAGATCTCACTTCACTCCCAGTTTTAAGAGAACACCCAACCCAAGCTAGTTTTCCACAGATCCTTCGAAAACCTGCTCTCAGTTCGTCTGAGTCTCAGGACTGGTACCCGATGACTACTGGTAGCCGGAGACGCGCCAGGACGCTGTATAATGTCGCGATTGCACGAAAACAATGGGATTGCGATGTGACAAGTTTTTCTTACAGTGATGACGGTCGGTAAAAGATCGCTTTTATCGCAGTGCAATCGCGATGAAGTCCTACTTTTTGAAAATTTATAATTCGCGATCGTGACAATAGAGACTTTTTAACGAGCGAGATGCAACTTCGCGATCCGAGCGCGATTACTGTAAGAAAAAAGTATCACGTCGCTATCCCGAGTTACAATTTTTCCAAAAATAAGAGTTGGCCATGATCGAGCCGCGACTTCAAAGTGATCGCAGCACGATTTGCGCGATTTTAAAGGCTCGGGTTACAATGTGAATTTCACGTGCTCTTGCCATGCTTGAACTAGTGTTCCATTAACCAGTTGATGGGTCATATATTTCACCGTTAGCAACAGAACTGGACAATCCCCTACCACCAGTGACAAGAACTTTGCCTAAATTGAGCAGGTTTATAGTGCGAAATTCACGTGCAGTTACCATGTTTGCGATAGTGTTGACCTTGAGGAAAAATGTTATAGCACCAATTAGTATTCCAACTGTAGTATTCCGTGACTTTTTCTTACAATGATGGCGCTCGGTAAAAGATCGCTATTATCGCAGTGCAATCGCGATGAAATCCTACTTTTTGAAACTGAACAAAATACACACGCAATGCAGACATATAGAACAAAAACCTAGAGTGCATTGGTTTATTCTCGCATTGCTAAGGCGGATAAGTGAAGATAGTACGACTGAACGAATTCATCGTAGAGTGAGGCGTAGATGGAAAGTATTGAACGATGAGGATCTGAAGTACGTGACAGATAGTACATCTGCATTTGTCACATACGTTGTTAAATATCGGATTAAAACTAAGACACAATTTAGTTAAATGCAATGAAGAAAAGCACCGTAACAGTTCCTTGATGTAGCCGCTGAAACCTGTATACAATAAGATCAAGATTAAATCGTGCTGATGAAAGTACTGACATCCGCCAACAGTGAAAAATTATGATAAAAAAAAACTGTCAAGATTGTTATTAACCCCAAAGAGACGAGTAAGAAGGCTCAATACTTCCTCTTGCCCTAGTATGAAGACATATCATAGAAGGTTCATGGATAGTATATTTCAAGAACTAGCAAGAGGAGTGGACAATGCCGAACCACCACTGAGAAGAACTTTGTGCGAATTGAGCAGGGTTGCAGTATGATATTCATGTGCTCTTGCCATGAGTGTAGTAGTGTTCCATTTCCCAGCTGATACATCATATATTTCACAGCTAGCAAGAGAACCGGACGATCCGTGACCACCAGTGACAAGAACTTTGCCGGGATTGAGCAGGGTTATTGTATGACTTGTACGTGCTGTTGCCATGTTTGCAGTAGTGTTCCATTGGCCCATTGATGGATCATATATTTCTGAATTAGGAAGATAAATGGATGATGAATTCCAACCCCCCGTGACGAGAACTTTGCCTGAATTGAGTAGGGTTGCAGTATGTTGTTCGCGTCCTGTTATCATGCGGGTAGTTGTGTTCCATTGACCAGTTGATGGATCATATATTTCACAACTAGCAAGAGAACCGGACGAAGGGTTATAACCACCAGTGATAAGAACTTTGCCTGAATTGAGCAGCGTTGCAGTATGATAATCACGTGCTGTTGCCATGCTTGCGATAGTGTTCCATTGACCAGTTGATGGGTCATATATTTCACAACTAGCAAGAGCACTGGACAATCCCTTACCACCAGTTACAAGAACTTTGCTTGAATTGAGCAGGATGGCAGTGTGATCTTCACGCGCTGTTGCCATGCTTGCGATAGTGTTCCATTGACCTTAAGGAAAAATGTTATAGCACCAACTGTAGTCTCTAGAATCATGACGTGATTTTGACAGAGATTAATTCAGGTGGCATCTACTAGATGACAGTAACAGAAAATAAATCAATGTATACACTCACCACATAAATAAGATGAAGAACATGTTAAATTTTTATCATTTCCACACCATGCATCAGTTTAGCATGATGAATCGTTGTATCCTTGGTTTAAACACAGATTTCCATTCCAATATGTATGTGGGGGACATCGACAAGTATTATTAATACATAATAAATATCGATTTATTTGACACTGATCACATGTTCGGTTATAGGCTACATAAAGTTGTTGTGTATATGCAATACTGCTAACTCTTGATGTTGATGGGATAGCTGCTGATCTATTGACTTGACCGGTTGTTATTTCACCTTCAAAAAGTCGACATCGTTTAGATAATACCTTATATAATATGACTTGTCACCATGAAAGAAAAATAAGAGTCTACACCTTGTACCTTTCTTTGAAACGAATCTCTACGAAAGTTTCATCATCTTTCTAAATTCGAAGACCACGTCACTATTCATCAATTAGTAATATGTTGTCATGTTCTGATAAGAAAGGCTCTCTCGGGAAAATACCAGTGTATGAGTAGAAACTTTAAGGGTTGGTTGCGTAATTGCATCGTATAAGATAATGCGGGCTTCATCAAAGAGTATGTAATATTCTTCCAAATATTTTCTAAATTCCCTCCTTCCGAAAACATAGTAACACTCTTTTATGAAGAAGTAGTGGAAGTTATACCAAGAATTTTAGGTTTCATTAGGTGTCGATTGCTGAAAACCGCCAGTTCCTATCATTTGTCATCTTTGAGTTGTTCGAAAACAACCACATGCTTCATATTTTGGTATTCTGGTTTTTTTCCAGATCTAGTTGAACAATGATGAAAGAGAATTGAATGTGGAGCACGATGGAGAATAATCAAGTTAAGCAGAATTGAAAATAGAACTGAATATAGATCCAAGAAAATTGAACAGTGATGAGATAGAATTGCAGGTTTGAGTTGGCATGGTTTATGGAACATTTCGGATTCTTTTGCGAAATGTTTTATTTGCTACCCACTCTCTTGCCGAGACCTGCCAACCAGAATTTTTCTAGATCAACGAATCAGGAAAGCTTTTTTTATTAAATCTAGTAAATCTTTAAACCGTAGAGTCCTAGAAGAGTTTTTTTCCACATCTAGTTGAACAATGATGAGAGAGTGCACACGTAATTTATAAACATCATTTTTGTGCAAGTATAACTATGTGATATATGTATAAGGGACTAATCACTCTCCGTGATCAAAAAGGGCCCGCATATGATTTTCTAAATTCCGGTTTTTTGCCAAAACTTGCGTTTTTCAATGAACTTTTTAAAGCACAATAAGTTTTTCTCCAAACTTTTCTGGGTCCTTACGAGGAAAAAAATATAGATATATAAATTTGGTAAGCTTTATCTTTTTTGTTTTCTTTTCACTTGGATTCTCTTCTTCTTCGATTTATTATTAATTGTCAAACACCCTCACCCTCATTTTTCTGTCCTAGGTGAAAAACTTCAATATTTTTCTATCTTGCAATAAGAAAAATATTTATTAGTTCAGATTGAAAGAATTTAAATAGAATAGAAAAATATTTAATTGATTTTTGGTATTAGTCGTTTAATATTTTTCTTTTTAGCATTTTTCGGCATACCCATGTGGCTGCCGCTTTTTAGATGGTAGTCGTCTGGTACCAGGCACAGCTAATGCAACAGCACACGGCGATGATATTGTTAGAAGACTTATGAAAATGAGTAGAGTGCTGCGAAAAAGTTGGTTGAAAATGTTTTCTTTTCACTACCGCAGCAAGTTTTCGCTTCTTTTTAACATTTTTTGCAAAAGTAAATCTATGATTTACAACTACAGCGTCGACTATGACCTATGAATCCATGGAGATTTAAAAGTCCTCTCTGAGTGCTATCATACGTGTATGATCATAATTCAATATATAGATCATAGTTTCGGAGGGATATTGGCAGCATATAGGTCGTTATTGTGAATATATGATACTGTATAATATATACTATATATATATACTGTATAATATGATTTCCTGGGATTATGTAAATCTCTATGTAAACGAGCAAAATGCACATTTTTGTATTAGCTGCCAACCACTCTTTCTTCATATTTATTGTAGGAAAACCTCATTCTAACAGCAGTGGCAAAAAATAGACAAAGAGTGACGAAACAGTGACAGGACATATTACATGTCGCCCTCATGATAGAGTCCTAAATTTGCCGCCATTTTGCCGTTAATGTAGTTGGATCGCTGTTGGATACTGAGCGCGGCAACTTCTGCAATGTTCATTTTTGCATGATCCTCACGGACCGCAGCAAGTTGTTGTTCAACCTCTGCACGCTCATTGCTCACTCTTTGATTTTCCATGCGTGTAACTGCGTGAGCTTCTTGCAGTTCGCCAAGAGCCTTTTGCAAAGGTTCGCGATCCATGTTGTACAGTTGTTCTTGCTGTTGCCTAATTGTATCTTCTTCCAATCGCTTCAACAAAAGCAGATCATTCTTTGCTCGAATTGTTGCTTCCTTCTCACATGTCCTAATATATTCTGTATCTCTCTGTTCTTCTAGTTCTCGTTTTAGTGCTTGCTGTAGTGGGGTCACTTCTTCGCAAACACCTACTCTTCTGTCTGCGTATGCTTTCTTATCGTTCTCTTGTTGCTTTTGAGCGGACTTAACAAGGAGTCCACCTTCTCCTGCTGCTGCCAGCATTGGTATACTTCCCGCAACGACGGTTGTTACTACTCCGGCCACGATTCCAACAGTGAAGTCAAGCAAAAAGGCTCCAGCGATAAGCGGCCCGCCGATACCAAATCCCACTGCGACACCAACAGCGATGCTGCCCAAGATGACCAAACCAGCTTTCCACGGATTTTCTTTCACCCACTTCACTACGGCTCTTAATGTTACCATAGGATGACACATGGCGAACCAAATATTTTTACAGGCATTTATCGGATGCAAGTACGGAGAGAAGGCCATTTTACTGAATTCAAATGTTTTAACTAAACACTTTCTAAGCGAACGTTCAGTGGCTGCGATAGCTACTTGAAGTTGTCGTTCAAATCGTTGAAGCCGAGTCGCATTTGCTCTCATATGAGCCACCTCGAGTGCAATGGAGAGCTCCTGATCTTGACTACGTTGGTTTGTTTCGTCATTGTCCCGAAACGATATGAAAGCATTCCAGGTATCTTTGGTCGGCTGCAGAAATTCAGACTTACACTCCTGTAACTTGAGCAAGATAAAGGCAGCTTCAGTTCGCAACATATCTTCGCTGCAGCCATCACGGCCGAAATCGGTCAGACAACGCTTTATGGTAAGCATCGTTAGGTAGTCAGTGAAGCGGTGAGCAAGAGTTTCGATCAGTTTCCGACTGGTACAATTGACGGATGAAATGTGGGTTGAACGACTTTTAAGAATACGATAAGCTTGGACGTATTCCTTGACTTTGGCGAGTTCAGCCTCGTTCAGACACAAGTATTCGCCTTTGATCTTTTGCCAAACACCACGTTTTGAATTCAGTTGGCAAATTAAAGCTTCCTCATCATCGGTCAGGTCCACCGTGCCATTCAATTCCTCGAGAAATATGTTGATGTTGCTTTCTATCGTTGAGTCTTTCCAGTAAACGTATTTGAGGAAGTCGTTACTTAAAATGTTGCTGGTTTCAGCACGAATGCGTCGAATGCAAAGAACAATCAAGAAGATAAAATATTGGATTGTATTTCTGCGAGCATTTCGTTGGACGTTTCTGTCCTCTTCGGCAGACTTCCAAATGCTTTTGAAGCGGTAATAGTGATAAAGCGTATCGATAAATTCCCTGTCTTGCGAGATTGTCTCCGCCGTCATTGAGATCGAACCGTAGTACTGCATTTAAAAACAAGCTGTCATAAGAACGAAGTTAGAAGAAAGTTAGACGAAGTCTATTCTAATTTTCCGTTTTACTATCAGCGCCAATAGATAATGCATGTGGTTGTTTTTCGAATAACTTAAAGATGACAGATGAGAGGAACTGGTGGTTTTCAACCAGCAGTGGCTGAGTTCTTTCAGATCCGAAATTCTAAGCAGCACACAGCAGAATCAAGATAAACCTCAGAATCGAAAACAACAGACATAGTTGAGGTTTAAGCAGAACTATTATGAACGAGAGATAGAAACAATTGTACATTTTCACAGCAGAATTGAATATAGATCTAGCAGGATTGAACAATGTTGAGGCAGAATTGACTCTGGAAAAGCTCGTAGTATCATGTAATCCAGTCAAGTTAACCAGAATTCAAATGAGCCCATGTAGCCACATGGCACCATACTTCTAACACGTCAGCACTCCGACCAACATAAACCATAAGAGTAGGAGAAGGGGGAGGCGCAGCAAGGGAGTGAATAGGAAATAAAACATTTCGCAAAAGAATCCGAAATGTTCTATAAATGCCAGCTCAAACCTGCAATTCTATCTCATCACTGTTCAATTTTCTTGGATCTATATTCAGTTCTATTTTCAATTCTGCTTAACTTGATTATTCTCCATCGTGCTCCACATTCAATTCTCTCTCATCATTATTCAACTGGATGTGGAAAAAACTCTTCTAGGACTCTACGTGTGGATCTAATTACTCGCCTAGAAAAAGAACATTTTTTGTTCTCGAATGCATGCATACGCACCACGATGTACAGAGATAATTATTCAGTTTTAAAAAGATTCATACTTCAATAATGAGTCAATCACTACAAAATACTAACTCAATGTTACACCTTGAGCGTGTTTTTCCACAGGGAGTTGGTTCCTAGTCTTTAAGTAGACTGAGTGAAACGATAAGGAGATTTATTCTGTTTAACTTCGCGCGTTGCCTAGCAAACTTCTTCTTTCTTTCTTTATTTCCATACCGTTTTTCTAGTTCGATACGGCTACTCGTTCTAAGTTATAGCTGATCGTCGAATTTTCGGAAAAAGAGCACTCAAATCTACAACGGTTGTAGATGACACATCGGAAGTTAATTTTTCTATGTATACTTTAGCTCATCTATAATTAGTCCTAGAAGATGAGCATATCTTTTTGAAGAACTTTGCCGTTTTCTGCCTCAGATAATCGTTCATAGTGAACATATGCTACAGTATCGGATATAATGAAAGTTATACTATGCTAGAATATAATGAATCAGTTGATATAAGAATATAGGAATTCTTTTTGAAAAGTAGTCAAACTGTTATGAGTTTGTGGATGTTCTAATTTCGTCTGTTTACCATTTCACTCAGTTGACTTTCCAGTCTTCCCGCAGGGCAAATGATAGGATAATGAATCAGCTAATACAATAACGAGAATAATTAAGATTCTTATCCTCTTCCTAATATTTACAGTTTCATTTCTGTCGCACTTCCTTCTCACAAGCGTTCACTCAGTCGTACAACATGGATGGTTAGGTGTTGTCAACCTCAAATTTTCTAACGTTCCTGCACCGCAAAATTTACATACCTACTCGTACCTAATTATACCTAACATAACTACTCTCCTACCCATACCTGCCACACCCACTGAACTTACGCGTACCTACCATACTTACACATAACTGTTTGCACCTACTTATGCCTACTATACTTACCATATCTAAGTTAGTGAAACCTGTATTAGGTGAAATGAGGCATTTTTGCCGATGTCTGAGTAAAATGAAAAAATTCATAACCTAGTGGGGATCCATCCAAATTATGTCAGAATATCAAGATGTACTCTGTTTTACTTGCTCAACACTATGCAGTTCAAGAAAAGGTGTAAACGTTAACAGCAAGTACCCTCTCGTAGTGTTACTGATTTGTTAGTTTTAAAACGTCGAAAGTCTTTTGAGACCTGACAACAAGAACTTTTCTAGATCCACCAATCAGGAAAGCTATACTTTATCAAATCCAGTAAATCTTTAAATGCCTCTTGGCATTTAAATTAAACCTTTTAGTCTCTGCACCGGGGACTTACCGCTGGTGTATTACGGCGTAGTCACAAATAATAAATGTGTAACGTACCTACTTACTGTTAAATTCGATTTATGACCGTCGTAATTCAGTTCAAGAGTCGGTGCTAACAGCCTATTTGGAAGAATATTACATACTCTTTGATGAAGCCCGCATTATCTTATACGATGCAATTACGCAACCAACCCTTTAAAGTTTCTACTCATACACTGGTATTTTCCCGAGAGAGCCTTTCTTATCAGAACATGACAACATATTACTAATTGATGAATAGTGACGTGGTCTTCGAATTTAGAAAGATGATGAAACTTTCGTA